ATGATACCATTAAATGGTACCATATATGAAAGTGAGATGTCACAATAATACTCGGTGGAGACATTGGTGTGCTAATAATAGAACTATAATTGGAATCTACTTAGGTACTAATAAAGTAGAGTTATTTCAATTCAAAGGCTAGAACGTTGATTAATCTCTTTACATGCAAATGTGGTAAATATAATTAGAAGCATACTCTAATTTTTTTGTTGACTAGATATATATGTCAATTCTATAAAATAATGACAATGTTGAAATAATGTAAAATTTTCTTTAAAAATTAACATATATACATTATACGTATTGCCTCCTTGAAATAATATTTTCTGAGGTGAATCATATTATTTTTGTAAAATATTTTCCATACACTAGAAAAATATCACACCATTGGTTGAATAACAAATTCACATATAAATATCATATTACGAATTATTACTATTAATTATTATCATCATCATCATTATTATTACATAATATTACTATTATTACTACTATTATTAATATTATTATTAACATTACTACTATATAATGGACCATGAAAGAAGCACTATAATCGATTATCAACTGGAATAAGAATTGAAGCCAAATCAAATTCAATTCAAATAAATGAAAATAACTTGCCAATCAAAAGTTCACACTATTCATAATAATATACCTACAAAGCAAAAATTCTTGCATTTGAAAAGATATAATCCATATAAACAAAAAACTCAAACCCTAACAATCTAACCGTGGAAAGTAAATTAAAATGGAATTATGTAATTAAGTAATGAAGATGTAGAAAACCCTCTCGGCGCATCACCAATTAAATGAGAACAACAATGACATCAAAGAACTGTTTAGAGGAAACTAAATGGCACATAACCTCTCGGTGTGGAAGAATTGAGTGCTTTTTTGAACTGCTATGACGGGCTAATAAGGTATTGACCTGCTCAGTTATGCGAAAGAGGATACTTTTATCTCTCATATATAGTGCTACTTGATATAAGGTAAGATAAGTCAGTTAACAATTGAGCGAGAAATTTTTTTCTCTTATAAGCAGTTCTTTTAGGTATAAGATAATCCACCTAACAATTGAGTGGGAGAATTTTCTCTATCATATATAGTACTTTAGGTATAAGATAAGTCGGCTAATAATTGAGAGGAAGAATTTTTCTCTCATATGTAGTACTTTTAGGTATTAGAAGATAAGATTGCTAATAATTGAGCAGGGGAATTTTTTATCTCATATATATGTAGTTTTTTAAAGTATAAAATAAAATAATCCGCCTAACAATTGAACGGGATAATTCTCTCTCATATGTAGTGCTTTTAGGTATTATTAGAAGATAAGCTTGATAATAATTGAACGTCCGAACTATCTCTCATATGTAGCTCTTTGAAATATAAGATAAGATAAGCCGACTAACAATTGAGTAGAAGAACTTTTTTTCTCATTTGTAGTATTTTTAGATATAAGATAAATTTGCTAATAATTGAGCTGAAGAATTTTTTCTTTCATATGTAGTGGTTTTAGGTATTACAAGATAAACTTGCTAACAATTGAACGTGGAAAATTCCTCTCTCATACGTAGTTCTTTAAAGTACTACCTTCATCCCACTAATATTGGGATGGAAGGGCGTGGTACGATTATTAAGAAAAGTGAATTTATGTGACTGATATTAATCGATAAAGTAACAATAAAGTAAGAATGATTTAAAGTCACATACACTTTACCAATTTTGGTATGAGACAATTTTAGTGGATTATCCAAAAAGATAAAATGAGACAATATTAGCGGGACGTATGGAGTATAAGATAAGATAAGCCACCGGCTAATAATTGAGCGGATTAATTTTCTCTCTCTTATGTAGTGTTTTTAGGTATAAGAAGATAAACCGACTAACAATTGAGCGAACAAATTTTCTCTCTCATAAGTAGTGGTTTTAGGTATAAGGAGATAAGCTTGCTAATAATTGATCGAGAGAATTTTCACACTCATATGTAGTGCTTTTAGGTATTAGAAGATAAGCTTGCTCACACTTGAGCGGGGGAATTGCGCTGGAGATTTTCTCTATTATATGTAGTCTTTTAGGTATTAGCTAGAAGAGAAGTCTGCTAACAATTGAGCGGGATTACTTTCTCTCCATATGTAGTTCCTTTCATTAAGTATAAGATAAGTGATCTAACAATTGATCAACATAATTTTATCTCTTATAAGTAGTGCTTTTAGGTATAGAAAGATAACTTGCTAACAATCGAGCGAGATAACGTTTTTCTCTCATATGTAGTTCTTTTAAGTTTAAGATAATATGTCTACCAATTGAGCGGAAAAATTTCCTCTCTCATATTTAGTGCTTTTATGTAGTACAAAAGATAAAAGATAAGCTTGCTAACAATTCAACGAAGAATTTTCTCTCGTATACGTAGTGCTTTTAGGTAAAAGATAATTTAGTTAACAATTGAGCAAAAGAATTTTGTCTAATATGTAGTTCTTTACGTATAAGATAAGCCGGCTAACAATTGAGCATAATAATTTTCTCTCTCATATTTTAGAACTAATTTAACTAATGAGTAGGAAGTTCTCATTTAACTAATATTTGTCAATTTTAATATTTATTGTATTCACTTAAAATTCGTGTCACTCATTTATTGTATTCACTTTTTAAAAATAGTATCTAATTTTAAAATTAATTTAATCATGAAAATTTATAAGCATGCAACAAATTCTAATGAGTGGTATCAATAAATTTTCCCTAATATACTCTTCATTTAATATTTATTGCATGAGCTTATACTTTATGGAATTAGCTTATTGTACTTTTATTTTTCTAAAATGTAAAATCCTAAAAAGTTATTTTTATTTTAATATTTAATTAAATCATGAATAAAAATATATGTACCTACTGCTCTTTCCCGTGCGTATGCACGGGTACTATACTAGTAATATTTTTGTTCTTCACATGTTAAAGAGTAATGTTTTTGAAATTGTTTCTAGCTTTATTACTAACTTCATGTAGAAAAGAATAATTATTTATATGTTGGTGTATTATTTTCTAGTGGTGTGTTGCAGTGTTGATTGGAAATTTGGAATGGTATGCAAGTATATCTATATGTACCAATGGCCGAGAGAGATTGTAGAAATAAATAAATACTGTATGTTATTATGATGAAAATTAAAGCCTACCATTTGTTTCTTGCATTAGTAGAATTAGATCACAGTAGGTAAAAAACGATAAAATTTTAAAATGTGAAGAACAAAAATATTACTAGTATAGTACCCGTGCATACGCACGGGAAAGAGCACTGGTACTATACTAGTAATATTTTTGTTCTTCACATGTTAAAGAGTAATGTTTTTGAAATTGTTTCTAGCTTTATTACTAACTTCATGTAGAAAAGAATAATTATTTATATGTTGGTGTATTATTTTCTAGTGGTGTGTTGCAGTGTTGATTGGAAATTTGGAATGGTTTGCAAGTATATCTATATGTACCAATGGCCGAGAGAGATTGTAGAAATAAATAGATACTGTATGTTATTATGATGAAAATTAAAGCCTACCATTTGTTTCTTGCATTAGTAGAATTAGATCACAGTAACGATAAAATTTTAAAAAAAAAAGTGTCTAAGCCCAGGTTCGAACCGGGGACCTCTAGTGTGTGAGACTAGCGTGATAACCGACTACACCACCCAGACAACTGTTCAAACTTTATCCTAGTGTAGTATTTGTTGCGTGCCAAGTGCCAAGAGAAGAGATTTCTTAATAGATGTGTGTTTTTTTCAATATATAGCTGTAGGAATTTAGATAATAAGTTTTTAAGTACTCTAACATTTACGTATTTAAATTTATACTACGTATATAAATTTGGTTGTGTAACCAAAAATAGAATCTTCTACCTTTGGTCTTATGCATATTAACAGCCCGTTTGGTAGCCTATTTTTCGGTTTATCAACTAACTTTTCACTAAACGCGTTGAATTGCGTAATAATAAGAAAAAGTAAGGTTGAAATTACTTTTCTGACTGTTTTGGTTGAAGTTGCTGTAGAGGACCATTTTAGCTATGTTTACATATATATTTTTTCTTTATTTTATTAATAAAATATATTTTTAATATAAATTTTTAATAAATCAATAGAATCAGCCAATTTAGTCACTTCATCATTCATAAATTTCAACAGAATCAGTCAATTCAGTCGATTTTGGTATTTACCAAATGGGCTCTAAATTAATTCACAATTATATTTTAATCCATTTAAATATAATTTAAATATATATATGTTAAGAAGTATCTTCCATCTACCCACAATCAAATTTTAACTCTCCTAATTTAGTTATTCATAAATAAAGTTTTTTTTGTAAAAGAGTTTTTTAATAGAAAAATGTCATTAAGATCCTTTTTGTTTATATGTTGCTCTCGTTTAGATAAAGTAATGGGATGTTGGGATATGCAAAACAAAAATTATACTATTCACATGTTTTACTATTTAATTGCAAAGTGAAAATATTTACACTATTCACATGTTTTATTTTGATTACATTTTACGGGGTATTTATTAATCTATTCAAATTTTCATAATCTGATTTTTAAACGTTTTCGCTAATAGAGAATTGATTAAATATAATGACGGTTAAAATTATGAATTGGAAAGAGTGAAAATGAGAATGTTGCAACTAAAAAAGAACGAAGTAATTATGATTAAACAATATGTTAACGTGATTCTTAGAGCATCTCTAATGCAAGGGTGTGGTCTGTTACACACCCTTACACATGGGTCCCTTTTTTTATCTCACAATTTTTATGTGTGTGGCCCATGTATTTACTACTCCCTTCGTTCCATTTAAATCTTTACACTTTCCTTTTTGGGACGTCCCATTTAAATCTTTAAGTTTTCTTTTTTGGAAACTCCTTTTACATGATTTGTCATAATTACCCTTCACAACCCACCCACATTTTACATTTAATTAGATACCATTAATTACCCATCCATTACCCAACCCCCACTCTCGTATACCATGTAATAATCTCCAAACCCCCATACGGACCACGGAGTCTCCAACAACAATCTTCTCTCCATCAGTTCATCTTCTCTCAAAAATCTATTCAGTTGGTCTCTTCAATTCCTCCTAATTATCGACTATTGGAGTTCGTTCACATGATCAAGAAAAGTGTAAGTGTTTAATCGGTTAACCTATGTGTGTTGATCTATGGATTCATATGATTAGAATTTTAATGTTTTCTTTTTGTTAAACGACTATGGCAGGTCCCAATTAAGGCATGCATCTTGAAGTTCTTGAACAGACCATTGTTGGAGACTCCTTTGAACATTGTGTCCCTTCTCTTCCTGTGCAAGAGGCCGTTGATAAGTTTTGTCGGATTTGCTTCACAACTAAGGTACCCCAAAGTCTTTTTCAATCTACACTGTTAACTTTAGAAAGAAAACTTTTTGAAATCTTCTCCTGAATTCTCTGATTTTCTCAATCTTTAGGTAGAACTAAGAAACATCCAAACGATGATGACCCTTCTTATGCACCATATGTCTTTTCTCCAACTGTACTAGAGTTGCTGAGAAGTTTTGTTCCATTTACTGGAATACTCCTCTGCCTAAATGAGGGAAGCTATGAAACATCCTTTAATCAATTTGCTTTATGTTTTGGGTGATACCCTCTATGAACGCCTATGTAACCTTGATTAAACACTTTAGATTTGATCTATTTTGAGTTTCATTTTATTTGCTTTGAGACATAATATGTTGTGATATTTGTTTATGATTTGTGTTAGTAGTTGGTTACGCTGTCAAGGATGAAAATAAATGTCATTTTTTAAAACAATAACACCAACAAAGAAGTTGCATCTGTACTCAAAATATATTGCATCTACACTCAAAATATATTGCATCTCTACTAAACAACCCCAAGTAGTAAAAATCAACTCCCACTGCCAGGTACTGTTCACCTGTCCAGTCAGTGAGAACTGCCGATTTCTGTAGATTAACAAAGTCCGAAGGTTGGGCCAAAGGGTATAAATGGGATTTGTTATTCTATTATTTGATCTCCTAAAACACCGTGCCAAAAGTAAGCGTCAGTTTGTTGATCAATTGTTAGATCACTTATCTTATACTTAATGAAAGGAACTACATATGGAGAGAAAGTAATCCCGCTCAATTGTTAGCAGACTTCTCTTCTAGCTAATACCTAAAAGACTACATATAATAGAGAAAATCTCCAGCGCAATTCCCCCGCTCAAGTGTGAGCAAGCTTATCTTATAAGTAGTGCTTTTAGGTATAGAAAGATAAACTTGCTAACAATCGAGCGAGATAACGTTTTTCTCTCATATGTAGTTCTTTTAAGTTTAAGATAATATGTCTATCAATTGAGCGGAAAAATTTCCTCTCTCATATTTAGTGCTTTTATGTAGTACAAAAGATAAAAGATAAGCTGGCTAACAATTCAACGAAGAATTTTCTCTCGTATACGTAGTGCTTTTAAGTAAAAGATAATTTAGCTAACAATTGAGCAAAAGAATTTTATCTAATATGTAGTTCTTTACGTATAAGCTAGATAAGCCGGCTAACAATTGGGCATAATAATTTTCTCTCTCATATTTTAGAACTAATTTAACTAATGAGTAGGAAGTTCTCATTTAACTAATATTTGTCAATTTTAATATTTATTGTATTCACTTAAAATTCGTGTCACTCATTTATTGTATTCACTTTTTAAAAATAGTATCTAATTTTAAAATTAATTTAATCATGAAAATTTATAAGCATGCAACAAATTCTAATGAGTGGTATCAATAAATTTTCCCTAATATACTCTTCATTTAATATTTATTGCATGAGCTTATACTTTATGGAATTAGCTTATTGTACTTTTATTTTTCTAAAATGTAAAATCCTAAAAAGTTATTTTTATTTTAATATTTAATTAAATCATGAATAAAAATATATGTACCTACTGCTCTTTCCCGTGCGTATGCACGGGTACTATACTAGTTAATAAAGAAATCAATTATTTATTAAGGGTAGTTTAGTCAATCTTTGTTGTTTTTACTCCTACGCAACTTTATACTCCTACTTTTGCACTTTTTGTATGTTTCACTCCTAGTCCTAGTGGAATTTTCTCTTGAAGCACCCAATAAGCTGTTTTTAACTTTCCAACTAAATAAGTCAATGAGCCAGACGCTCATAAATTATCTATCTTATGAAAGAAAACTTTACACGTACTCTTCATGCATCAAGGACTCATAATATATACCATAGAGACGAACCAAGCTATGCAGCTTTTTGAGATCGATGGAGTAAAATGGGAAAATAAGAAAGAAAAAAACCGAGGGAATAGCTCATGAGTTCTTAATAATTGAAATCTACAAACATTTAAATGACCAATAAACATTCTTTAGTAGTAAGAGAACTCATGACTGGAGACTGAGCCACCACACTTCAAGATTATAATGTCTAAACTAAGGCCCCGTTTGGTAACCTTATCTATTCTTTTACTTATATAGACTTTGAACCAGTTGTCCTGAGTAGTTGAGTAGCTCCCTTTACTAGTAGAGATGGGAGGGTGTCCTATGTTTTTAAGTACATGCCCTTGGTATAGCGTCGTAGTCATTACTCCAAAGTCCAGCCAGTGAAACTAAGGTTCCTTGAAACCTTGCAATTTCACAACTGCTGTGAATGTCACCCACTTCCAATCGGTATAAGAAACCAATCAAAAAAATTATTTTTTTTTGTTGCTCTAAATAGAATTACTAAGGATTGAATTTTCAATGTTAGCATACCCACAGTCTACAGAATACCACTTTCCTATTATACGAAATGCATGTTGCTGAGAATCGGAATTCTCATCGTAACTTTGCTCGGGTGGCCTGAAAGTCAGTTCGAAGTCTCATGCACTATACTAAACCTCAGGGAGGCTAACCAATCCTTTTACAGAATCTCTCTATCTCTATAATCACCCACATTGTTTAACTCACTATCTATATCGTTCACATGGTTACCTTAAGAACAGGAGAATAGCACATATACATAGAACTCCGAAATGTAAAGGTACCATCCTGGAAACAAGACTCAAGAAGGATTGACATAGGACTAGGCAGCACCGCAGCAAAGTGTAGAGATGAGTTGATAGAGTGTTGAAAGAGTGGGGCTATGAGATACTTACATAGTACATACTACCTCCGTCCCAAATTGATTTGCAAATTTGACTTTTCTTGGTCAAACATTTTCATTTCATATGCTTGATTAGGATGTCAATTTGTAATTATATTCTAATTTGGGATTTGGAACTTTAAAGAGATTTTAATTTAGTTTCTGTATATGTAAACTTTAAATATTAAAAATTGAATTAATTTTCGATATGGAGTATTGACTTTTATTATTGGTTGATCAAAAAATGTCGAATTCGCATAACAATTTGAGACGGAGTGAGTACAACCAAAAGAAGGGAGGTCAGAATGTACGTTTTCCATTAAATGAGGGAGAAGTTACAAAAATCATTTGCGTTCAGCTCAACTTTGATTTATTGGTTCAAGTTGACGAGGAAAGAAAAATGTGTTCATCTATAACAAACAAGTAAAAATGCTCATTTGGTTCGAGTGACAAGTTCCTCCTGCCTAGGGATGGACTCGGGTCCAGGCCGGGCGGGTCAGAAATGGTGGACCCGGGACCGGCCCGGGTAACCACCGGGTCCGGGCCGGGCCGGGCCGGGCCCGTTATATTTTTTTTTGTTTTCCTCTTCCTAATTAACCCCCTCCCACCCCCAACCCCCAAACCACCCCAAATGGCCCAAAATACCCAGCCCAACCCGAAAATTTAAAAAAAATTGAAAAAAAAAGAAAAAAAAATAGTTTTTGGCCCGAACCGGGCCCGGCCGGGTCGGGCCTTGTTTTGGGTGACCCGAGCCCGGACCAGAAAACCCACGGGCCGGGCCTACCCGGACCGGTCACTGACCGGGCCACCGGGCCGGGCCGGAACAGTACCGGTCCCGGGCCGGTTCCGGGTCGGGCCACCCGGCCCGAGTCCATCCCTACTCCTGCCATATTAAATTATTAACTGGTCATTTGACACGTAATTTTCGTTGTACATGGTACGCTTTCACAAAGTTTGGGGTAACTATAGGGTAGTATGGTTTGGACATCGTAATTGCAAACACAAGTACATAACTACTAATGGTGCACCAATAATTTTATGAATTTATCCTGAATGAATGTCCCAAAATGCGCAGGAAATAAAAAGTACAAACTCTATTCTAAGAATATCGGACATTACATTGGCTACAATTTTTCATACTTAGAACTAGCAGCTAGCAGCACGACAGTAGAGTATCTTGAATCTTCTGACGTAGTTGATCCTATAAAATGAATAAATATATCAATTAATAAAAAAAGAATGTTAGAAACATGAAAATTTTCATCAATATTACCAAATAAATATTCATGGTGTAAAAATGAGAATGTTTTATATAAAATAAATGTCACCTGACAGTTACATACAGTTAAATACTTGAATAGCCAGTTGCATTTTATAACTGCAGTTGATAACATTTATATCATACATTATGAAATTACTATCTGTCCTAAAGTAATTATATCAAGGAATTTTTCATGATAAAAATACAACACTGACAGCCATAGATCAGAGGAGTTGGAACAAAGATGTCTTACCATCTCCAATTTCCTTCTATTACCGTGATTTTGTATTAAACAAATGAAATACTAGAGATACACATCCTGCCACTTCATTTAACCAGTTCTCGAAGTCTGGTGTATCTGGAGGAAAGTGCCCAGTCAAAGCATATTAGGTTTTGGCATTCAACTTTTGCAGAAGGAACTCGTTCAGGAGATTCGGATTTGCCTTGCCTTTTGATTCCTTCATCACCTTTTGATATTTTGTAAACAGTATAAGCAGACATACATGTTTCAGTGAAGGATAGAAAACTGAGAAAACTTTGATTGGATTATAACATGAGTCGAATCACACAAAAAGATCGAATATAATCAATTGGCTAGATTAACCTCAAGACTTTATAAGCCCGTCAATCTCTTTTTTTAATCTTTCAGTGCGAGATTCTTAGCAAAATTGTAGCATATACGTGATAGAAGAATATACCTGGCCAGCGAAATAACCTTGCAGCTTTGTTTTGCCACCACGGTATTGCTCTAGCTGCTTTGGGCTGTCAGCAATCACTTTATCTACCATTTTCTCAATCTCTTGAGGATCTACAATCTGGCCTTTCAGAATAAATTAGAACTATATATCATGTCTTATTGGAACTAGTTTCAAATAGAGAGAATATAATGCTCCATACAAGCTTATCATTAAGCTAACTCAAGTATAAATCTTGGTGTTACTCAGAATAATGTACATAGTTTATGATTACACGCCAAGGTGTTTGGGTCTACTTCTCGAAACTGATTCTGGTACTTCAAGAAGCATTTAGAATCTGCTTCTCCAAAACTGATTTAGATTGTAATATTTTGAATTCCCTAACACGACGACAACAACATCCAAGCCTTATTCCCTAAAACACTAACCTAGTTAAGTATGAGGACTCATCCTTTTAGTTATTTGGTAAATGATCGGTTTAGAGCACCAGTTTATCAACACATAAAGGTAAGTCTGTACTTTAAAGGAAAAGCAATTCCAAACACTAATAATATCACTTTCTCATACAGAGAAAATTTGAGTCAATGCCAAAAAAGTGAAAACCCCTCGTAAAGTTATAATAACTAAGAATATATGAGAATATAAGTTACAACATTGCATAACTTGCCTGAACCAAATCCTTTTCTTCTATCATCCCCTTCACAGTTCCACCCTTGGCCATTATCTCAAATAATATCTGAAAAACTCATGTTGGAACAATTCAAAAGGCATATTTACTTTAATTACCATGCTTAGACATTGTGGTATATTAGTGTATATATCTCAGTGGACTAGTTCATGTTTGTTGGTAGTTTGATATGTATATGAAGAATCCAGAATAAATCTTTCCCACTAAAAAAATATGCCAAATAACATAAAATGTATGTTTTATTATGATATGCTTTAAGTTTCTGTCATTTGCAGCAAGTTTATGATACCTCTTTTGCAATCTTCCCGCTGATAGTGCCCTCTTGAATTGCAGATATGAGCTCAGCAAGTTCATGAGGGGTAAGTTTAATAACACCGATGGCCATCTTTTCATTTTTCAGGTATGCAGCTATGTCGCCCATCATCCAATTAGTAGCAATCTTTACATCTGCACCTTCACCAATTGTTGCATCAAAAAACTCTGCAACCTGTAACATTGGTTTTTTGACACAAAACACTGAGAAATATAGGGTTCAAAGCACAATGTTAATTTTTAAAAAAGTGCTGCAAGATACAAAAGGAAACTGGGTGCAAATTTCACTTTTCCAGACCATCTGAGATCATGTTATAACATTTCTCGAACCATGATGTAAGTGAATAAAGTCATCATTGATCAAAGGAAACAAATGCCCTTACCAAAATTTGGTTAATGAATACAGGCACACACAACCATCACCAAACACCTCTCAACAAAAAATGAAAATTAAAAACAAAAAATGAAAATTAAAAACAAAAAATCATCTTTCAATACATCCTTGCTGTAAGCTGTAACTTTCTTAGAAACTTTCTCAAGATTAATTTTAAACAGGGATGTATTTAAAAATTTCTTGGATTTATTTAGAAATTTCAATGAATCCTTTATAAATTATAAACCATCTTGCTCTAGCTTGTTTATTGATAGGGACCCGAAGTCCGAACAATAAAGACTAATAATAGAATAATAGTAATTAGTGTTAGTGTACAAGTGAGGGTTTTGGGCCTGGCTTGGGCCAGCTCTTTAGGATAGGAATATTATAAAATGGGGGAGGAGGGTAGAAGAGAAGGAGGTTGGAATTATCATTTGGGCTTTGGGACTAGGAGAGTTGGCACTCTTAAACCGCCTTTGTATTTCTCTCTATACTTTCTGTTATACGAACAACTCCATTGTTAGGTATCTTGATTTCTCCATAGTTAGTTCTCGGAAATTGCTGTGAATTGGTCTGTAACTTATCATTGGTATCAGAGGGTTGTTCCTGCCACCAGGCTGATACACGCGGAACGATGGAAGAAAGACTGGAAAGTCTGGTACACGACCGCAAGGAGATGCGAAACAGTATCGAGGGGTTGCTGAAAGATAGCGACAAGGTGCGAGGAGATATCCGCTAGTTGCGCAAACTGATTTTGCAGAAGAACGCTCAACGTGAGGGAAGAAGATCAAGAACCTCAAGGAGCAACGCTCAACATGACTGTCCTCACCGATCGTCTCAATCGCTAAGTTCGCAGGTCCCATCGCGTGAAACTTCTAGCCGTTCACATGCTCCATCGAAGAATTCTTCGCAGGTTCTTTCACCAGCTCTCAGTTCGCGTCAAAATGCGAATCGATCGAGGGAAGAATTTCCCAGTTCGCAGTTGCGAACCGTTCCTCCCAGTTCGCTGACGCGAACAGTGCTTCTATGTTCGCAGGATTCCTCATTCGCTGATCTTTACCATTCATTTTCGTCACCCTACGAGTATGACTGTCCACCGCCTTCATCGCAAGAAGTTTCTCTCAGTCTTTCGCAAGATTCCTCGCAAACATTTTTTTCCAGTTCACAAGCTTCATCCGGAGCAGATATTTCCAGTTCTCAGACTTCTTCGCGAACCTATTCTTCATCGCCCAGGGCAGAGAAGTTCACTGAAGGGGACTATGAAAGGGATGAAAATTCGTCAGTGACAGCTGGACCTGAAGCTGGCGCAATTGCTCGTTTTCAATATTTTGAAGATTCTGGAACCAATATTTTCAAGATTCTTCGGGATCTCATTCCGGGTCCCTTCACGGATGCAGTAATCGAAAGGGAAAAGGTTAGGGCATTGCCAACATTTGGTATTCTTGTGCTAGATAGAGGTGTAGGTCTTGACATGCAGTTTCATATGGCAAATATTGGTCCAAGGCTCATGATACTCAGGAAAAGAGACAAGGACCGGGAAGGTTACAGTGTGTTGAACACTTGAACACACTTGTTATCAGGAGATGGATGGAGAAATGCATTGATATTGTTGAAAGGCAGAACCAGTTTTTTATTCTTGATGTTGGGTGCAATTTAGTACCTTCTGTCAAGTATGCAGTAATCAGAACATCTCTGCATTTTCCCAGGGATGTTAGTCGCTCCTTCCTTTATTCGGTGGAGCAGGGGTATAAATGTAACATAATTGAAGGTGATGTGTGTGTTAGCTATCAAGGGCGTTTGATGGGACTTTCTCCCAGAAACAAGGTTACAGATGTCCGAAGATCCGATACAGTTGAAGAATCCTACCTTGGACAATCAGTTTGTATGAACATATTTGATGTTTATAATGAATCCGGTTAATGAAGACTATTATTGGACTCATCAAATTCTGGATTGAGATGGGCTGAGGAGTTTGCTATTGACAGCATAGTTGAAGGAAAAGTTCATAAAATAAAGGAATGGGATGCGTTTTTCACTTTTCAGAATCCCGAAAACCTTCTGTTCAAGCTTACTCTGGTCTGTCAAACTACCCCACTCATTCGTGATACAAACCACTTGTTCATTGAGCTTCCTTGGCTGAAAAATAAACTAGAGAGCTATGCAAATAGTATGCTAGTGGATGGTGGATGGAAGCTGAAGACTACTCACACAACACATACATGGCTAAGTGGAGAACTAAAGCCAAGGTGTGTCACTATAGATCTGAAAGGGGGGGTTCCAGTCCCGCATGAGAAGTACATTGACAAGGTTTACTATATATGGTTTGATACAACAATTGGGTATCTGTCAATCATTTCATGTAACACAGATGAATGGGAAAAAGGGTGGAAGAATCTTGAGAATGTGGAGTTCTACTAATGTGTGGGCAAGAAAAAGGTGCCTTTTCATACAGTAATGATCCCAGCTACCTTACTGGGAACGGAGGAAAACTATACTGTTATGAAAACTATCAAAACAGAATACTTGAACTATGAAGCAGGCAATTGTTCAAAAAGACAAGGTGTTGGAGTAATTGGAAATGAGGCAAAATTAAATAGTGAATCACTAAGTAATCTCAGAAACTTCATCAATAGTGCCCTGAGTTTTATGGCAAAGGATTTTGCTACTGGATATGAGTTCCTCATTCATGATAGTAAATGAAAATGGAATGTTCGAGCCATGATGCCTTCTGAACAGTGTGGTGCAGAAAACCTCTATGCAGTACCTAAATCTGTAGGTATCCACTTCTAGAAGGAGTGGCAGCCAGTTTTTTCTGCTATTTTTGAGGAATTGGCCAATGAGAATGACTCTGTAAGGGTTGCTGCACTTGGTGCTAAATGCTAATCATATGTTAGTGAAGGTCTGTGTCACAATGTCGTTGCCTCTGCCCATTGCTGTAGAAGAAGTGATGATGAACATTGAAATCATGAACATCCGGGTCCAGAAAGCAGAGATGTATTGGGAAGGGAGAGGCGCAAGGATGAAGATGTGGGCATGGCAGTTTCTTACTCCCCACCTTGAGGACAAGGTGGTTGTCAAAGGGGGGAGTAATGACAGGGACCCGAACAATAAAGACTAATAATAGAATAATAGTAATTAGTGTTAGTGTACAAGTGAGGGCTTTGGGCCTGGCTTGGGCCAGCTCTTTAGGATAGAAATATTATAGAATGGGGAAGGAGGGTAGAAGAGAAGGAGGTTGGAATTGTCATTTGGGATTTGGGACTTGGAGAGTTGGCACTCTTAAACTGCCTTTGTATTTCTCTCTCTATACTTTCTGTTATACGAACAACTCCATTGTTAGGTATCTTGATTTCTCCATAGTTAGTTCTCTGAAATTACTGTGAATTGGTCTGTAACTTATCATTAATAGTTCCATTTTTAACCTCACTTTTATTCTAAAAGTATTTTAAACCTTTCATTTTATATCATTTTATATTTATAAACTAGCTTACCACCTAATTTTGGCAGAATACGCTATGAGATCCTAAGAGCTGAGTAGCTGAGTTATCAGCTATCGGCTAGCTTATCTTATTTCACCATACATAGTCTAATAATATAAGCAATCGGGGAGGTCACTTACATTAGCGTCATTAGTGAGGAATAGGACATCCTAGTCTAATAATATAAGCAATCAGGGAGGTCACTTACATTAGCGTCATTAGTGAGGAATAGGACATCCTGCATGCTTAATCCCATCTTTTCATACCTCCGCCTTTTAATTTCTGGAAGTTCTGGTAGTGACTTGGAAATACTGTCAACATAGTCTTCAGTGATAGTGACCCCAGGAAGATCAGGCTCTGGGAAATATCGGTAGTCAGAAAGCCCTTCCTTTTTCCTCATGGTAATTGTCTTCTGAAACCAAACAAACAATATAATGAGTAAATAAGAAAGTTTTAATATCATGCGGTGGTGGGGACTAGGGGCAATGTTAAGCAAGACTGTATAACCTGACCACCTTCTTCCCACAGACGAGTTTCTTGTACAATCTGATCACCTTGGCCTTGGTTAAGAAGAAGCACCTGTCTTGAAATCTCAAAATCAATGGCCCTACTCATTGATGAGAACGAGTTCAAGTTCTTTATTTCAACCTGTTCATTAAAATCCGGTTAATGAGGCCTAACATGTTCTTCATCCCTGCAGATAACATATTTTGTTTTAGGTCCTTGTGAAAAAGCAAAGAATCCTTGTAATTTACAATGTTCTTAGTCCATCTTTGTCAACCTCCACTCAGCAAAACAGAAGTGGCTCACAAAAATCAACTCTAAGTTTTCCACGTCAACTTTCTATAGGTCATAGGTGACTATTACAGGAGCGAGGGCTAAGAAAACCAACCATTACCACTTAAAACTTGCCACTTTTTGGAACTATGCAAAAGTAAACAAATGACGAATAAAACTACTCACCTTTGTACCAAATTTGATCTGCCCCATAGGATGAACAGAGATATTAACGTCACAACGAAGTGATCCTTCTTGCATATTACCGTTACTCACTCCCAAATATCTGACCAATCGTTGTAATTCAGCAGCATACTCTGCGGCTTCAATACCCGTTCTCATGTCAGGTTCAGATACTATTTCAAGTAATGGTACCCCTGCTCTGTTCAAGTCAACCTGTTATAGATAGGACCAATAAAAAAATTAGATCCAGTCCTTACAGTGTTAGCAATAATATAAACAATGAATTGAAAGCAAAAGTTACATCCTGTATGTTCCTCATCACATATAAATATATAATCACACCAATGACGGTCACATTTATTTTAAATATCAAGGAAGAGAAGATCTGAAGAAGTCAGGTTAAATTCTTGGGCTCCGTTTGTTTCCTGGAAAATATTCTCCCAGATGAAGTTTTCTGATTTTCATGTTGTTGACTTCTTGTGACACGAAAACTTTTGAAAACTTATTCATTCATACTTTATGGTGCGTTTTGGATCTCACAAAATGAGAAAGAAAATTTCGAGGAAAATTGGAAGAAGAAAATAAAGTATTGGTTCACACTCAAAAATTGGAAGAAGAAAATAAAGCATTGGTTCACATTCAAATAATTTATACTATCCTGTATCGCATTACTTGCAACATTGCAATTTATACACTATTCATGTACTCTACTTTGACTACATTTTATTTATTAATGTGTGTAAATTATTATTTTTTGAAAATTATTATTGAATTTGTCTCATTACTAAGTCATAATCTGATTTTTAATTATTTTTTACTAATACAAAATTAAATATAATATTGGTCAAAGTTTTGCATTGGCAAACGTGAAAAAGGGAATGTTGCAACTAAAAAGGAACGGAGGAGGTATTTGATATTTGTTCAAACTCATTTGATTTATTGATTTCTATCATTTAAAGGAAGTAAATCCAAAAAGTAATGATAATTCATTTTCTTGCATTTTCCTGGGTAAAAGTTTAAAACCAAATACAAGAAAGAATCTTTTCTTAGCATTTTCTATCCTTTCCCTAACACTTCCCAGTATCCAAACATACCCTTAGAATTTTGTGGAAAATGATTACCTTTATCAAATACAAGTATATAAATTATATACTACGTAAAAAATACACACCCATATATAAATAGAAAATTCAGAACATCTCGGAGAAGAAAATAATTTCCTGGGAATAACTCATGTCGCCAATATGAAGCAATTTCCCAGCATCTTCTTCCATGTGAACCCTTGTAATCCCGAACCTCCTATGTCCACCACCAAACTCAACAGGTATATCCAGATCAAGATAACCTCCAGTTGCAATAGGCATATCAAACTGTGAAATTTGGTATCCCTTTGGAAGGTCTGGATAAAAGTATTGCTTCCTATCGAACTTTGACCTCGGAGAAAGCTTACTGTTCAGTGCAAGACTAACCTTAACAGCAGACTCTATAACCTTCAAATTCAAAACTGGCAAAGCCCCGGGCAAACCCACACAAACGGGACAAATGTTAGTATTTGGAAAAGCTCCATAAGTGTAAGGACAGCCACAAAAGGCCTTTGTAAGAGTTGAAAGCTGCACGTGGGTTTCAATCCCAATGATTGCTTCAAAATCTTTCAAAATGTTATCGAGCTGTTTTGGATGGGTTTTTTGTCTTCCTTTGGATTGCATCTCTTGCTTTTCCTGTGCCCCGGTCTGGTTTTGTGCACTTTTCGAAGTAAAGCATACGGAGGTGCATTTTCTAAAAAAATGTGGGAATGGGTATTGCTTAGGAGCATAAAATTGAACCCCCCTAAAGAGTGTTACAGCCATCTAACATATGCTTCAATCTACCTTCAAAAGTGAGATAGGTGAAAATAAAGATCCTGCAAATCATCATATACCCATTACACAAAGGATTCAATAGAGAATCCCAATCACCCATAACATACACGGAGTTCTTTATTCTATGTTTTGGGTTTTATTTCATTAAATCATTTCTTAATTGAAATAATTAACTATTCCGTATGTTTTAATCTTGTCTTTGTTGAAAACCAGGCATGATAGTATAACGAAGGCAAGTAATTATGTATCAAAAAACTTGATTTTTTATTTACTAGTTTTACTATAAGGCTTTGGCCATTTGTGCTTCAAAAATCGGACGAATTGTATAGTCTCCCGCTTTTCTCTTTCTACACATAGAACAATGAAAGGGTAGTAAGGCATATTCACAAACACATATCGTGCAATGCTTGGGCACTTATCCGAATTTCCCATACCAGTAGGAGTCTGTACATGCTTCTTACACAATCGAGTTCTTAAAACGTATAGGCATTGTGGCAAGTTGATCTTACTGTAAAATTGTTTGAACGATTAGATAAAGTATAGCCTAGCCGAAAGCAACACAACAAATCACATACGTCCAATAGAAACACTTACCAGTTTTCGGTCAATCCGCAATTCCTAAACCCAGATACAAATCCCGGAAACCTTCTTTTCACTGTAATGCTCCATGATCTGAGCTCGAATTAGAGCATAAATTAATAGTCATTTATTCCAGGTTCGGATGGCTATTCAGCGGACGGTCTGGCTTCGGGCCGATTTCCGACTTCCGAGAAGAGGGATCCGGCGAGAAGGGGCGGTCGTCAGTCGTCGATGTACGATGTTGGAAGACTCGAACGCGGAATCCTCAATAGTCACTAGTCAGTAACTCGGTATAGTTTTCGGTCAAACTCAGTATAGACTCGAAGGGAGTGTTGCTGAAAGAAATAAATCTGAACTTCATTTTTTCATTTTTCAGCCTATGAATGGGACTTGAAAATTCGTTTATGATCAAATAGGATTGGGATGTTGTGAGTAAACAAAAAAAATGTTTAACTGGTTAAATATAAATCTCATTTAGAATAACCATTTTTTACGAAGACTAAATATTATTATATCGTCCTATTTATGTGTCTCCTTTTTATATGACACAATTATTAATAAGGTGATTTAAAAGGTAAAACTTGAGACTTGAGTTTGAGCACAATAAAATTTGAGTCTAATAAAGTGATTGAAAAAGTAAAAGTTAAGGCTGAAGTTTGAGCATAAAGTGAAATGTTATGAACAATATATTTATTTCTAAAGTAGCAATAAAGTATAAAAAACGTAATAAAAAGTAAATTAAACATAAATATCTAACTTTTTTTTGAAATGGAGGCAGATCATTTTACTTATTGCGTAAGTAAATAAAAGCAAGTTTTACTCAAATTGGATAAAAACAGTGTCATTTTTCTAAAATACGATCAAAACAATGCCGAAGTCCGCTGATGTCGTTGCCGAATTGAACTTATCCACCAAAGTAGTGCCATTTTTTATTATTCTGATGATGAGACTTATGCTTCTATAATTTTTTATAATTCTTGTTGCTCATATCACACGAACTCATTACATTCGTTATCTTTATCTAACTTCTCAATTTTTGAGGTACTCCATGAACGTAAGGAGAATAATGGGAAGAAAGACCCCTCATCTCCCCTAAGAGGCGCAATTGAACCCATGATGATAGTGGAAACTCAATGAGCTCCGCCAACCTTCCTTGTGTTATGTGTAACAAGAGAGTGCTACTTAGGTCATGTTATGTTTGATCTCTATTCCATAACTATGTAAGTTAGCCTAACTTTCAAATTTAAATTTAGAACAACTATAGTTCTCTAGTGAAAATAAGTGTACCATGGATATATGTCATCCATTGGGACATTGTGTATTAAAGTTGGCTTCCAATGCATGTAGTCTCTCATTCAATGATGTGTTGGGAAAAAATTGAACACCATGAAGAGAACTATGCGAGTGTAGAAAGGCTCACTAACATACTGACTTTGACAAACTGCACCTCAAAAGCCTCTGCCTCTACCTCTCGATACCCACTAGTGGAAAACAGACATCCTATATGGGGTAAAATCGACTTTTAATGTCGGTTGTGAACCGATATAGATACAGGCGACATAGAAAGTCTCAAACATTTCCTATCAGGTGGTTGTACCCCATATTGAAAAGATTTTATATCGGATATGGGAGAACCGTTATAGAGAGTACGCTTTTTTGTAAAAAAATAAATAAATAGCTTTCTACATTGTCAACTTCTCTATAATTTTATTCCATACATGTAAACTTGCAGAAATTACAAACACTTCATCCAAAAACAAACACTTGATTCAAATATATGATAATTACAATCACTCAACTCAAATGTATTATAATAACATACTTAACTCATACGGAGTAATATCTAACAAGCTTTTTTTTGCATAAAATTGCAACAATGTTCATATAGCTTGTTTGTTAAAAGTTCATACAACTCATGGGATGATATAATCTCACAAAACAAAAAAGGAATCCAAAACCATATTTATGGACCAATAGAAACAAAGAAGGGATGTGTGCAGAAATGTTTTCATGCAACAGTCTGCCTTGTCCTCTTCTTAACACCTGACTTTGAAACCTTGAGGCTCCGGTTAACCACACTCAATCTCGCAAGTGCTGCTTTCTTCGGGTCTGGCCTAATAGTAGTTATCTCCTACCTGGTTGATAACAGCCTTTGCCATGCGGTGGAATTCCTTCTTCATGACAGACTTGTTGTGCAAATCAGCAGGTTTGTTCTGTTTCTTGGTCTTCGGTGTAGCTAGCAGCACCGTTTGGTCTTTACCAGCTTGAATGGTCACGCTTTTCTTGTCTGGAAAATACAATCTAAGCCTTTTTAATACAATCTAACAAGCCTTTTCTTGAATGGTCTTCGTTGTAACAATCTAACAAGCTTTTTAATACAATAGAAAATACAAAAAAAATAGTTAAAAATCTACGAGCCTCTAACCTATTAACATCCTCCCAAAGAATTTACTTGATCTAATTAGCATTGTTTCAAGTCTGGAAAGCATCTTTGGAGCTCCAGCTGCAAAACATATTTGCGTTATTGAAACCTCAAGCCTTAGAAGCCAATTACAAATTTGAATCTCTTTCTTCCATGGCAAATAGAATACATCAATGAAATTTATACCACCTCATCAGTATAATTATACCTGCAACATAAAAGAATTTTATAAGCAACGAGCAAGAGAATTACATCTCCCAAAACTAGGACAACCTGCATACAGTATAATGAATGTCACGTATGAATTTACATAAAGCAATGTACAAAACAAATTGATGGATAGTGTACCCGGGGGTAGCTTATCCGAGGGGTTATTACCGGGAGTAATAAGAGAAAAGTTAGAGCAAGTAAATGTAGAGAGAGAAAGTATATTGTAAAGTGTGGAGCGTTTTCAGCGTGGTTACAAATGGGGAAATGGGGTGCTATTTATAGTAGCAATAAATGTCGGACAGGGACACGTGTCAAGCGTCCATTGGCCGAGAGGTCACCTCAACTGGTTGGCGCTGGCAGCCGCATGTGGTCGCATTTAATGCGGCTGTTGGATGGGACGTTGTACAGGGTACGGTGATCTGTACGCATGTGGCGCGGATATCTTGTCGGAAAAGGTGCCCTCGGCTGTAGAGGACCAGCCGAGGGATCTGAATACCGGGGACCCCCTTGGTGCCGAGGGCTCCAAGTGCCGAGGGCTATTGATTTTCGCCGTTTTCCCAGTAACTTTGTTTTGCTGTCTTGGCCCTCCTGTGAGAGTTAGAGCCTTCGGCCAGGGGGCCGAAGGCACCCCTGGTGCGCATTGTGGGCCGCTTGGTACTCTGGGCGCCGTGATTTAGGCCTGTTGGGCCTTCTGGGCCTGTTGGGCCTTTATTGGAGTAGTAGGAGTCTGTGGGCCGGGGGTTCCCGGGCCATATACTCCATCAGGAGTTCCTCACTCCTTTTGCCGAAAGGTACTTGAGGGAAAAGGAGTAATTTGTGTTTGTCCCCTGCCGTTGTTCCGTTCGTAGTTTGTAGAGTTGTGGGTAGTTTGCTGTTTGTTTATTCTGCCGAGGGCAGTCCCTCAGTTACCCACATGTCGGGACTTGAGGGGTCATGTTTGTGATTTTTGCCATTGATCCCGAGGGGGTCCTCCAGTCCCCCACTCCTTGAGGCACTTGCAAAGTGGTGAAAAGGAGTGAAGTAGTTGCGTTGCTGTTGTGGGCCGAAGGCTGACGCTTTTCATTTCATTTTGGGGGGATGCCTCGTTAAAAACCTCATTAGGAAAAAACCCTGTGGGAAAAAATCCTAATGAGGGAAAAAGAGTGCACCGAATTCCACCAACGATGAATCGAAAATGTGAAACCTTGGTTCAAAATGGAGAATAATGATGATGTTGAAGGCTCTCCTTGTTCTGAGGGCTCATGTGTTGATTAGCCGGAGGCTAGTTGTCGATGTCCTGGGAGGTGCCGAAGGCGAGTCCCTCAATCTGGGGATCGAGGGCGTAATAAATGCGGGTAGCAGTCGAGTTGTTACCGGGGGTCCCCTGTTTGTTGATTAGTTGGTGATGAGGATCTCCGAGGGGTCCTGTTACCTGTGTGCGTAGGTGATCCGTCAATGAGGCATACTCCCCGGGGGCTACCCGGCTCTCAAAGTGCTGAGGGGGGATCCCCGAGGGGAGCCTGATATGAAGCCTTGGGCTTCTGAAGGTTTGATCCCGAAGGCATCTGTTATGTACTGTGTGGGGCACAACTCGGGAGCGTCTCTGGGTAAGTGTACCCGGGGGCTCTCCTTGATGAAGTGGAGTGAAGTAAAAAACCTGGGGGCTCCCAGAATATAGCCGTTGGAAATATAGCCATTGGAATATGTAACGTCCGGATATAGCCGTTGGAGGGGGGTTGCCACGTGGTGCGTGCTCGTTGGCTGCCCGTGGGCGGGCGTCATCGATTGGGTGGAAACTCGGTTGGTAATGATGGCAGTCCAACCGGAGGCCCGGATTCCAGGCCCAAGCCCGGATTCCAGCGCCTATAAATACCCCATGGCCGACATCCTTCCCCTTGTGCGAAATCATTATAGCGAAGGTCTGCCAAAATTTCTAGAGAGAGAAACAGCAGTCCTCGATCAAATTCTCATTCCAAGGTCAGTTCTCCACTCGTACTTCACCTTCTTAGTTAGCAGTCTTTGTGGCCTTAGATTAGGGGTGTAACTTAGAGCACTTAGCACCTCCGAACTCTCGACTTAGTATAACGATGTCTTCACAAAGCGATTCTCAAGACATCTCGGGGGCGCCCTCGATGGAGGACGAAGTCATCTCGGACGTGGAGTCCTCAAGCGAACAGTCCTCGGCCCAGGAGGATGTCGCGATGGCGGTGGAAGTGCAAAAAGATTTGGTGGCTGAAGTTGAAGCCGAGGGCTTCGAGCAGGAGGCGGAGGACGAAGAGCTTGCCCTCGCCGTACAAGTTGCAGAGGAGGAAGAAGAAAAAGAGAGGATGAGGGTGACGGTGGCCGTCCTCCCCCCTCGGGGTGCTAGTGAAGCAGGGAGCTCTCGGCCCCTCGACCCGACGCCGATAAGTGTGGCCCCCGGGAACCAACCGGAGAAGAACAAAACTGCACCCAAGAAGAAAAGTGTCGCTGCCGATCAGGGGAAACCCATAGATGTGCCCGAGGGGTATTCCTGGCTAAACACTGCTGCCCTGGAGATAGGGTCGAAGGCTGATAGGGAGGATATGTACGTGACCCAGCTGCACGTGGGGCCTTCGGCTGTGGTGGTGGCGCCGGGCCCAGATGACGTTCTTTCCCGGGCCCCCGAGGGGTGCATTGCTGTGCACATGGGGCGGGCTCCGGTTCCCCCTGCACCCATTCCTTCGGGAATATCTCCGGTATGTGGGCTTGGTCCCCTGCCAGCTGACGCCCAACAGCCACTCC